AATAACATTAAGTGTGATGGACTCCTGGGCTATTAGAGTGGATGTAACATGTAATTGAGGCTGGTTATTCTTCATCTGGAGTGTCCCCCTTCACTAATGGCAAATCAGGGCAGAACACATGGTGCGCGCTTTGTGAATCCCGGACTCAATTCACTCCCTGCCTCCGATCAGAATGATCCCAATGAATGTCAATGAATGAGCGGGGGACAATGAATTAGAGTGAATGAAAGCCTTGTAATGGGGCCCTTCGCCGGCACCGAGCCACAATTGAACACCACAAGGACGGCGTCTGCCTGGGCGGTGTTTGAATTCATCCCCATTAGCACCATTAGGGTGAAGATTACAGGGTGGGGGCAAGGTCGGCTCTGCTGATGGGGCTCTCCAAGCCCTACTGCTGCCATTTCTTTGGAGACCAAAATGAGCAGGTTTCGGCAAGCCTGGCTCCAGCTGGACACGGGGAGAGCGGGCTGAGCTCGTATGTCTGAGCAGAGACAGGCAGATGCTCAGGCAACCCGAGGTGGGTCCGTCTCTCCAACCTGGTGTTTCTTAGTATGTAGGGTTGGGGGTCCAGAAATCAGAACCTGATTTTGATTGCAGATCCCAAATCCAGCTCAGTGGGATTGTTGCACTCCAAGTTTTGGTATAATCCATTCTCTTCATTAAAACAGAAGTCAGATGCTCCAGGTAGCACTGGCATGGCTTTTCGCCATGGAAATGCCCACATTTTCCCCTGGGGCCACATTCCTGGTGCCTCGAAGACCCAAATCACCAAGTAAAACAGGGGCACATCACCTGGCAGCGCTTGAGAGAAAGAGGAAGGAGGCTGCTCCTGGATCCAGGCTCTTGGCAGCTGCTGCTGCTGCTGCTGCTTCTGTATTATCTGTGCATCTCCCAACAAACACCCAAATGTGTGGGTGCATCTGCACAGGAATGATGAATAATAATTCAAGAGGGAAAAAGAGTAGGCGAGAGAGTGCAGGGGAGAAGGAAGCTTTGGCATACCGAGGGGAGAAGAACAGGATCAGCAGGGAAGGAGTAACACTGTGAAGCCTGGAAGGAAACGAAGGCTCTTACCGAGCTGACCTGTCTGGGGAAGGCAGCGAGAAAGCAACTGCCTGTGAAAACTCTGCAGGGAAGAGGGAAAGGCTTCAAAGAAACTGTGCTGCAAGGAGATAAGATTAAATTCCTGCAGCCCATTCAGAAAGGAGGCAATGGGGAGAGAGTCAGTCTCCCACGTGCGATTGCAGGGTAGGCATGACTGACACGAATGTGAGATGCCATTCATTTTTTCCCCTCTGCTTCTGCAAAAGCAAGAGTGGGCGCATCCACGTGTTCAGCCCCTGATCCCAGTGGGTTTAGCTCACGCTGCCCAGGTGTTTACTGGGGGTCCGTCCCACGGGCGACCGCCACCAGACCCCCCACGCCTCCCAGCTCACTGCTCCACCTCAATGGGTTTTGTTAACAGCCCCTCGAAGGGTCGCGGAGCGCAGCGTCGCCCCAGGAGCCCGCCCGACGCGGGGCTCGTGCCCCCCCCCGCCACAGCGCCGACAAAAGAGCTTTGAAGGGCTCATTTGCTGGAGGCGGCAGAGCGAGAGGGAAAGGCTTGTGTCTTTTCTGGCTTTCTGTCCTCGTTAATTGGTGAGTGACGGCGCAAATCACGCTTCAAAGCAATCACATGGAGCACTGAGAGCCTGGCGAGGCCGGGAGCTGAGCCGGGGAGGGCTGCAGCGGTCGGCTTCAGGGCCAGAGATGGGCTGGTGCGGTGGCATCGCCTTTGCATGCTGGCAGGCCCCCACGGACACCGTGCACCCCACAAACATCCAGCCCCGATACACCCACGAGCTTCTCCAGGCTGCCTGCGCCGCTCGCCACGGTGTGAGCTCCCCGCTTGTGCCTGCAGCCGCGGTTCCGCACAGCCCATCACCAGCCGCCCTCCCCGCGCCTGCACGGACTGGGGCACCCACCGTTGCCAGGGCACTTTCAGACCCCGCACTCTCAATATCACTTACGTTTTTCTTTGTTTTTTTTTTCCCCCCACCTCCCCTTTTACGCTTTGCAATATGCACAACCCAACTGAACTGCGGCTGTCACCAAGCATGCAAAACCCCTTAAAATATACATATATACGTGCATCTAAATATATATGTATGCACATAACGACTAGTTTTTGTTTGGCTCAGCAAACCGATCTGGCTCCCTGTAGAGTCGCACGGTCACGAGATTTGACGCAGGAGAAGGCGTAAGCGTGTGCCACGGAACAAGGAAAAGGGGACGAATCTGGTCCCCCCTTTTGGAGGGATGTGCCAGCTGGAGCAGAAGCCTGTGCCCTCTGCTCGCTGGATGCGCTCCCAGCTGCGCCGTCTCCAGAGCCTTTCTCTTTCTGCTAACGCCGTGCCTGAACGCCAACTCCTCCACGGCTTTCAAAGTGTTCATTTTTAAACCGAAAGAGGGAAGAATAAGAAAAAGGCATGCCCAGCCCTCTCAGGCATGTGTAGGAGGCCTGGGATTGATTGAAACACCTCCTGCCAAGAGGCTGGAAAGTCCCGGCTCTCCCTCCCCCCCATTTCTCCTGTCTTCTGCAGGCACCCAAAAAACCAAGGGCTCCTCTGTCCACGGGGCCTGGTGCTCTGGCCACGGCAACAGCGAGCCTGGCACCCCCCGAGCAGCAGGTCCATGCACCCCGTGCTGCTCCAGGTTTTAAGCTCCCCGACACCTCTGCCATAGATGTGTGTAAATACACCGGCTGCTTTCCCCTCCCCGCTCGCTCTCACGTGTTGAGCGCTGTCTCCAGGCGGCTCTTGCGATAGTTGGCAGCTTTGCTGCTGTGACATTCCCTTTTCTCTTCTGCGGGCACAGACACACCAGCGCGGTGTCGGGAACACACGCTGGCAGAGCAGCCTCCTGTGCCAATTATCCCGTTCCCTGCAGCGATTCCTCCCCCTCCGCGCACATTATGCCTCTTACCCTGTAAAAATGAATGAAGGCGCTGTCATCGGTGACTTTCAGTATATCAGCATCCAGGCAGCAGTTCAGACCTTGGTTCTTACTTACTTCTCTTAATCTCCCAAAAATGGATTTAGGGATTAAAGCGGATATTCTGTCTTTCTGGGACTTTTCTTTGACACTTAATCAATCTGGGTCCTCAGGGCACAGAGAAAAAGGAAACAAATAAAGCTGAGGGATGAGCGCAGCTTCGTGTTCCCCTGTTGAGGGTGCAGGGGAGCCTGCACCGGAGCAGGCGTAAGGCAGGACATAGCAAAGAACGGCAAAAACACAGGAGCAACTCTCTAGACGTTGAGGATGAGACAGTGAGGATGCCCTGGCACACGGTGCCTGCACCCCCTCCACCACCCAACCCTCTCACGCTGCCAGGGGACGTTTTACCCCCAGGACGCCTGCTGGGGCAGTGGGAGCCTGGCATGTGGCAGCTCCAGAGAAGAGCCAGATTGCCCAGCGCCGGCACGACCGAGAGCAGGAGCTTTGAGCTGTTCTGCATGCAGCAGAGAGCAGAAACGTTTCCTCTCTCATCATCCCGTGCAAACAGCACTTAGCTCATTTTGATTATGCACTAACTTCTGCCTACGAGCAGCTCTTCCCCTTTCTCCCCACCTCACCCTTTAATTATCTAGATGGAAGGTGCATCTCCATTATAGCCCTGATGTTGGGAGCCAAGCGTCGCAAAGGCCACCAGGAGCCAGGATTTTATTTCATATTTCCCCCCCTGCCGTAGCAAAGACAACTAATGCACAGCTCCGCATACCGCTGAACCGTAATCACAACACTCAGCGCACACAAAACACCTCTTGTCTTCTGAAGTGCAGCGCAGACATTAGGCATAATTAAGCCTCCCAGCATCCCTTTTCAGGTAGGTTAAGAGGAGCACTGAAAATTGGAGAGAAATCAGGCAGCGACAGGCTGATGCGGGAAAGGCAAAGAGAACTAATGCACAGCTCCGCATACCGCTGAACCGTAATCACAACACTCAGCGCACACAAAACACCTCTTGTCTTCTGAAGTGCAGCGCAGACATTAGGCATAATTAAGCCTCCCAGCATCCCTTTTCAGGTAGGTTAAGAGGAGCACTGAAAATTGGAGAGAAATCAGGCAGCGACAGGCTGATGCGGGAAAGGTTGCGACTGCAGCTCGCAGCGCCGAGCGCGGCTGTCAGGAGGCGGGATCCATCCGGCACGGAACAAGCGGGAGGTGCAGGCGCTTGTTGAAATTAGTGCCTATTAGGCACCTAAAAATCACTACAAATTGCTTTTCCTCTTTATTTTTAGAGACTCCATGTCTCGTAACCCTCCTGGCCTCATCCAGGTGCACCGTACCCAGCAGCTCCCGCTGAGCGCGGGGCAGGATGTGCCTGACCAGGCGGGAGCTGTGCCACGGTGGGTGCCAGCCAGCCTGGGGGACACAGGCAGCTCGTGGGAGGCTCCTGGAGCCATCCCCAGGTGCGGGGAAAAGCCCTGCTCTCCCCTGCCTTCCTCCTCTGCCACCCTCCTTCACGTGGGGCTTCTGCAGAGGGATGGGAAGAGCAGCCCTGGGCATCCCTCTGCCTTTGCACGCACCCAGGGACTGCCTGGCTCATCTGCACACACCCCCCCCAGCCCAACACGTGCTGACCCAGCCCCAGACACACACGTGGGGAAACGTGCAACACGCGTGCACGTTGCAAAAGCCCTTTCACGCGCTGACGCCAGCTGGTGCCCAAACGTGCAGGGCAAGGCGTGTGCTTACACACCCCCATCGCCAGAAACCGCCCCGCTCCTACCGATGCCCAGACCACGGGCGCAGCGTCGCACCCGCAACCCCGAGCCGCTTTTCCTCACCCTGCTCTCTGCTCTCTCTGCTCCCCCTCCCCAGGCTCGCAGCTCCCAGGCGCAGCGAGGTCTTTGCTATGATTGCGGCAGCAGCCGTCTCTTCCCGCTGCCCGGACCCCTCGCCACACGGTTCAGCTGGGCTCCGCTCCCCCCGCTGCATGCCCCCCGCCCGGGAGCAGCATGGGCAGCGTCAGTAGCCTCATCTCCGGCCACAGCTTCCACAGCAAGCACTGCCGAGCCTCCCAGTACAAGCTCCGCAAGTCGTCCCACCTGAAAAAGCTCAACAGGTACTCGGACGGGCTGCTCCGCTTCGGCTTCTCCCAGGACTCCGGTCACAAGTCTGGCTCCAAAAGCAGCAAGAATGAGGACTTCTTTTACATCAAGGTCAGCCAGAAATCGCATGGCCCCCACCGACCGGACTATACCTCGCTTGCCGGCGGGGAGCTGGGCAGCCAAGCCGGGACGAGCGCCATGGACTTCGGGACGCCCACGCCGCAGAAGCTGATGCCCTTTCCCAGTCAGCTGGAAGTGGTTAGTAGGGGAGACGGTGGCTCCAGAAGTGTGTGTGTGTGGGGGGGTTATCCCATTGGACCCCGTCTGCCCTCGAAGCGGGCACAGGTCCCACTGCAGGGTTGGTCCTGGTCCTGGTCCAGGAGAATGCCCAGAGAAAATAGTTTGTGCCAAGGAATTGGGGGGAGAGGGGCAGCAGGGAGGTGCTGAGGGCACCCTGCCACCCTCTGCTGTGAGGGATTGGGATCAGCAACGCGATCCGCATCCTTTCATTTCCAAACATGACGTTTGCCTCCCAAGAGCGGCTCTTTTAGCCACCAGCATCCTCCCAAGCTTTTGATGGAGACCCGAGCTATCCCCACCATGGGGGTCTCATCTTTGGGGGCAGAAGGGGTGGGGGAGAACTGACGACACGGTGTCGGTCTGTGCTGACGGGCTCTGCTCTTCTCCCCAGGGCGCGGAGAAGCCGGCCGCACGACCGACTGCCTTCAACGGTGCTGCCCCGGTCCGGCACCATCCTCCACTCCTCCCCAGAGAACGGGGGTCACCTCTCCCAGCAGCTGCACCCCCCAGACAAAGCCAAGGAGCAGGAGCTGAAGCCGGTGCTGTGCTCGGGGGGTCTGTCCGACTCCGGCAGGAACTCCATGTCCAGCCTCCCCACGCACAGCACCAGCAGCAGCTACCAGCTCGACCCCCTCGTCACGCCCATGGGACCCATCAGCCGCTTCGGGGGCTCGGCCCACAACATCTTGCAGTGTGCCATCATCCAGGACAGCAACATGATGAGCCTCAAGGCCATGTCCTTCTCCGATGGGGGCAACAAGATCCTCAACCCTGGCAAAGTCCCCCACCACCATGCCGCCGAGAAGACCACTTGCATCCGTTCACCCATCTCCACAGATGAGTCCACCATTCAGGAGCTGGAGCAGAAGCTGCTCGAGAGGGAAGGAGAGCTGCAGGAGCTTCAGTTGAGCTTCGAGGAGAAGGAGGTCAGCTCCTGCCAGGTTTACGAAGAGAAGCAGCGGCGCTGCAAGGAAGAGCTGGAGGGCCTCAAGCAGAAATGCAACAGCAAGCTCAAGCAAACCTCGCAGAAAACCCAGCGGACGCAGCAGGTCCTTCATCTCCAGGTGTTTCAGCTGCAGCAGGAGAAGAAGCAGCTCCGGGAGGAGCTGGAGAACCTCATGAAAGAGCAAAACTTGCTGGAGACCAAGCTGAGGTCCTACGAGAAGGAGAAGACCAGCTTCGCCCCAGCGCTGGAAGAGACCCAGTGGGAGGTAAGTGGCGCTGGAGCACCGAGAGAGATCTCAGGCTGCCAATGCCGAAAGCAAAGCGTGTGCGTGGAAGGCAACAGCTCCAGCACCAGCAATAAACCACGCAGGGCTTCTCCCTTTCCATACCTGCATCCAGCAGCACCACGGAGGGTCTGAGCAGAGCAGGTGGTGCACAGGCTAAGCCCAGGCTGTAGGAGATGGATATTAAACCTGAGGAGAGCCCTGGTCTGTCGCACGGAGGCTCTGCACGTTATAATTGAGGGACTCACTGCCCCTCTTAAACCCTCAGCACTTCACATCATAGAAGGAAACAACTACTGCATAAAACCCCAGTCATTAAAATAACTTCATGCTTCCAACCTCCAGCGCAGGGTTTTTCAGGCTGCCTGCCCCAAAGGAGCAGTAAAGCTGCCTTCCCACGCGTAAATAGGAACTACTTACACTTGCCACGGTCATTTATTAGGGAGTAATAAAACCTTCCACTCTCTCCTTAAGCTTAATTTTCTCACTGATTGGGTATCGCTGAACAAGGACCATTAAACTGCTGAAAATTCAGAAGCGAGCCTGCTCACCCGCCTGAAAAACATCCACGGCTGTCATTCCTCTGCGGCCGTACAGGGAGAGGCACAGCTCTGGCCCCGTGTCCTTCAAGGAGCGTGGTGTTCACCTCTGCTCCCTCGCATGCAAGGATTTCTCAGGCCGCTTTCAGTATCTTTATTTTATTTGCACTGTTGAGCCACCTCTCCGAACCGGCAGCCGCAGGGTCCCACCAAGCGCCGACCCCCCAAGGGCTGTCTCCGGGAGCGGCCGTGCCAGCCCTGCTTTAGGCTCCAGCGGGATGCTCCAGTGGGATTTACAGGCTTTGCTCCCCGCTGCAGTTCTGCGGGGTGCAGGTGGGTGCCTGCCTGCGGAACAAGCTCAGCGAGTTTAACTGACCGCGTGAGCCGGCGGCAGTGGGTTCAGCGAACGTGTTGGACAGGGTATGGAGACTTGAGCGCTTCCCTGACACCCTCCGTTTCCACACCTCAGCTGAGGGGCGTCAGCTCCTTAAATCCTCCCGTCTGTTCGCTAGCAGCCCTCCGTGTCGTGCATGGAGAGCGTGGGGGCCCCTCCAGACCCCCTGAGAGCGTGGGGCATTGCTCCCTGTGCTGGAGCATCGCCCTGCATGGGATTTCATGGCTGGGGTCTCCATGTGCCAAACCCCAGCTGTGCCCAGCACGGCTTGCACGGGGTACCGCGGGTGCTGTGGGCCTTCTCCGAGGCGCCACGCTAACTCAGGTGCTGCGTCCCTCCGCACAGGTATGCCAGAAGTCAGGGGAGATCTCCCTCCTGAAGCAGCAGTTGAAGGAGTCTCAGACGGAGCTCAACACCAAGACCACCGAGATCCTCAGCCTGAAGGCTCAGCTGAAGGAAGTGAGGCTGAAGATGGAAGGGCTGGAGATGAAGACCCAGGACCTGGAGGGCTCCCTGCGCACCAAAGCCATGGAGCTGGAGGTGTGCGAGAACGAGCTCCAGCGCAAGAAGAACGAGTCCGAGCTGCTGAGGGAGAAGGTGAACCTGCTGGAGCAGGAGATCGTGGACCTGCGGACAGAGCTCGCCATCCTCAAGGAGCAGCTGAGCGAAGCCCGGGAGGTGGCCAGACCCTGCGCCGTGGTGGATGATGCTCAAGCCCTGCAGGGAGAGGTAGAGAGGCTGCGGGCAGAGCTGAAGGCTGAGCGGGACAACAACGAGCAGATGACCTCCGGCTTCCAGCACGAGCGGCAGACATGGAGGGAGGAGAAGGAGAAGGTGATTCACTACCAGAAGCAGCTGCAGCAGAGCTACCTGCACATGTACAAGAGGAACCAGAACCTGGAGAAGATGCTTCAGCAGCTCGCCGCAGGGGAAGATGGCAAGGAGCCCATCGAGCTGGACATACCCGGCGCTGACGTCCCCTACGAGGACATCATCGCCACCGAGATCTGAGCCAGGTTTGCCTTCTCCTCCTCGCAGCTCGGGGGCGGGCACCTCTTCCAGGCGAGAAGCGCTGCCCCGCAGCTCGGCCCGCGCCTTGTACCGT